ATAGATAGATAGATAGATAGATAGATAGATAGATAGATAGATAGATAAACAGTGTCCCTCTAGAGGGCACCACCACTCTACCACAACTCAGTTTGGGAGTCACGCATTCAGCAACAACTAGAGAAATTGCATTTCCTGTGAAAATGCAGTGTGAATGCTGAAGAATTTGCTGAAAAGGCTGAACTATGCTGAAATGTAGCTGAAATTAAAGAACGGGCCTTTCTAAGCTGAAGAAAGCAGAAAGAACACTTTTTGCTGAATTAGGTATAAATTAGCAGAAATGAGCACAAAAATTAGGAAATTAGCTACAAAATGCAGAAATCAGCAAAAAATAGCTGAAAAGTAACTGAAAAGGCAGAAAGAAGCTTAAATTACTAGAAGGAAGTGGAAAGAACTGAAATGAGCTAAAAAAAAAAGTGGAATTACCTGAAAATGATGAAATTAGCATAAAACAGCTAAAAAGTAGCTAAAATAGGAGAAAAAAAAGCCAAAGCTAGCAGAAAAAAGCTGAAAGGAGTACAACAAGCTGAAATTAGCATAAAGAAAGTAATTAGGCTGAAAGTAGCTAAAAGTTACCATGAAAAACTTGAATTCATCTGAAAACAGATTAAATTAGCTAAAAAAAAAATTCTAAAAAGATTGCTGAAAAGGTACAATAAGCTTAAAGTAGCAGAAGAAAGCAGAAAGAACATGTTTGCCCAATTAGGTTGAAAGAAGCAGAAATGAGCAGAAAAAGGTGGAAATTAACTGAAAAAAGCTTAAATTAGCATAAAACAGCTAAATAGTAGCTGAAATAGCAGAAAAATCTGAAACTTGCAGAAATCATCTGAAAGGAGCACAAGCTGAAATTAGCAGAATGAAGTTGGAAGAAGCACAAATGTTGTAGTTAGTAGAAAGGATCTGAAAGAAGCAAAAAACAGCTGAAAAAGCAGCTGAAAAAAGCAGCTGAAAATAGCTAAAATTAGCTGGAAAAATGTTTAAATTTGCAGGAGCAGTAAAAGGTTGTAAACAGATCTAAAGATATGAAGGATGCAAAATGAGCTCAATTCATTTTCTATGAGAACAAAATGGCTGAAACCACATCTGTGACCTCAGAGGGATTTTTGTGATTGAATAAAGTTCAATAAATAAATAAATCTGTCAGACCTGCTGTCGGACAAGGTGTAAAATACAAAACAATCTTCAAATACACTTTACTTACTCAGTGGCCATGTTGCCTGCAGGATCCTGAGGTTTTCTGTAAAAAATAGACAAAACAAAACCTTGATTTAAATTTTGTATTCATTACTGGTGTTAAAATGTTTTTACAATGGCCTGTTAGCTAAATCTTAACAGTTTAGAGTTTTATCTTTGTCCACATTAAATATGTTATGAAGCCATTCACAAGTGGCAGTTAATTCACGTGCTGCAGCCATTTAAACAGCTTATTCCCAAATAACATTCAAATGAGCACATGTGGTGATAAGAGAGAGATAAGAGAAGTGGAGTGTGCTCTATTCACACAAGGAGAGCTGTTGGTCAGGCTACTTCTTGTGCCATCCTCTCTAAAATAGTTACTGGATCAAGTGTTTACTTTTGTACAGTAGATAAACATAGATGTTTAACAGCCTGTTAAAATACACCAGAATGCAGGAAATGGCATCTACTTTATTCAAAATGTTCTGTGGGGAGGACCTCCAGACCAGCCAGTGTGTCCCACCCACATTACAAATGCTTCTGAGGCTTGGCAGAGCCACCGATGTGGGCGTGGCCAATGACAGGTCACAGTTTGGCTCATACCTCTTTGACCTGTTGCTCTCAAACAGACGGCACAAGTCCACGAGGACACGGACCACCAGGTTCAGTGTCTTTGCCAAAGACCATCCCAAATTTGAACACAAACATGCATTGGCACACTCATTACTGCAACACTGTTTTGTGTACACACACACTTATCAAATTCAAAATAGCTTACAGAGTCATATTCTTCCTTGTGTAATTGTTTAATCTTTTTTTAAATCTTCTTTTGATTCAGTGTAGATGTTATGTTATGCTGTCCATTAAGCAAACACCAGTACAAACACACTGGGAGAGGCTCTGTAATTTTCTTGTACTTGTGACAATGACAAATGAACTTATTACATCCATTCATCATCATATGCTACTTCCATTTTGGGTCACGGGGGTCACCGGTGTCCATGTCCAGCGATCACAGTGCGAGGGGCGGGGGACACCCTGGACAGGTCTCAAGTCCATCACAGGGACACATAGAGACAAACGAGACGACCAACCATTCACTCTCTCACCTAGGGACAATTTAGAGTTACCAATCAGCCTAACATGCATGTTTTTGGTCTGTGGGAGGAAACTGGAGTACCCAGAGAAAGCCCACGCATGCACAGAGAGAACATGCAAACCACCCAGAAAGGCCCCTGGACTGGGATTTGAACCAGCGACCTTCTCGCTGAGAGGCAGCAGCTCTACCAGTTGTGCCACCGTGCTGCCACAAATGAACTTATTAGTTTATTTATTCCTTCTGAGGCTGTTGAATGAATCATCTGTATCGGTTCAGCTGTAATCGATTAACACCTGAATAGTATATAGAAACATGTATGGAAAATACATGTACATGTACAGAAAATATGGCAATAGTTGTATTGATTGTATTATATTATATAGTTGTATTATATACAGGGCTGCTTTTAACAGTACTTTCACTTAAATGTTAACAACATGGAATAAGAGGTACTGTAAATTATTGGTTAAAAACTTATTTAGACAGCAGGTTACAAAGAAGAACATGTTCACAAGGTTCAACTGGATTCAGTTCAGTTCAGTTCAATAGGTTTCTCAGACTTGTACTATTCTTTCTCTTTCATTCTCTCCATTCACTAGCTCCTCCAAGTACTCCTTCCATCCTCCCGTCACACTCTCCTCACTTGTTAGAACATTACCATTCCTATCTTTAACAAGCCTAACCTGCTGCACATCCTTTCCAGCCTGATCCCTCTGTCTCTCCAATCGGTACAAGTCCTTCTCGTCCTCTTTAGTGTCCAGTCTCCCATACAACTCATCGTACACCTTCTGTTTTGCCTTAGCTACCTCCCTCCTTGTTCTACGTCCCATCTCCTTATATTCCTGTCTCCTCTCTTCAGTCCTCTCTCTGTCATATTTCTTCTTGGCTAATCTCTTTCTTTGAACATCTTCCTGCACTTCACTATTCCACCACCAGGTTTCCTGATCATCCATTTTCTGTCCAGATGACACACCAAGTACCTTCCTACCTGTCTCTCTAATTACTGTTGCTGTAGTAGTCCAGTCATCTGGAAGCTCTTTCTCTCTTTCCTCTATATGGCAAAAACCTCATGCCCAAAAATGTAACTTTTCTATAAACTTTATATCCTGATGCATGTTCAGTTTATATATATATAAACTTTATATTTAAATATATCTTCCTCTTCTTTCGGCTGCTCCTTCTTCAGGGGTCACCACAGTGAACTAAGTCGCACGAAGACTTGGTGATTGTTTATACACCGGATGTCCTTCCTGACACCACAGACCACTGAGCTACCACAACCCTCTGTGTGGAGCAGAGAGCTGCCATCTTGGGCACGGGGGGAGCAGAAAGTGGGGGTTGAGGGTCTTGCTCAAGAGCCCAGAGTGGGGCAAATAAGGGGGGAGGCGGGTAGGTGTGGGTGTTTCACCTTTCCCACCCACATTTTGATGTCGGTCAGGGGGATTGACCCAGTGACCTTCCGCTCACATTCTCGCCTTCTCTAACCTTTGCGCTCAAATTTATATATACTGTACTCTATTCTTAGACCTACAACTGTTGTGAACATCTACAGTATAAAAAGTGACATTCTAAAAGAAGAGAACTGCAATAACAAATGTGCAAATAGTTTTCAACCCAAAAAGCACTGGTCTGTAAACAAAAAGCAGGAAGTGGAAAGTAAGAGGTAATTCTAAGGTTAATTAATAAATGTGACGGATGCAGCAGAGTCTCTCAGGAGACGGAACAACATGGTACGTGCATGCTCTGTCATAAGTGATTGTAGGTTAAGTATAGCATATTCTCTGGAGCAAAGGTTCGAGAATTCACAGCAACCTAACACTCAAGAACTTCCTTAGATGGCCAAGATATTGAAGCATGTCACAAAAATAACTTATCACTATGCTGACCTCAGTAGCACGTACACTGTTCACCTGTTTCACACAGTCAAAGTAAAAACAATACGTTCACTGACAAAGCTCTTCAGTCCACACAAGAAGGAGCCCTGGGTTGAAAAACATTCATTCAGGCTTTAACTACACTCCAGTTTTAGTACTGGAGTGTAGTTTATGTGACCATTAGACCATGAAACATTCAAAAACCAGCTGAGGACGTGTCTGAGTGGATGAATCACTCCTCTAATATTGGAAGCTTCTCTAAATGTCTAAATCCTTGAGGAGAGCACAGACTAAAATTGGTCGACAGGGATTAAGCTAGAGAGGCTTGAGATTAGACCAGGCCTTCAATCTTTCCAAGGTGCTGACAGAAAGATAAACAGTGACGGACTGGTTTTCAGTTCAGTGGCCTTGTAGTGGTGTTGCTTTTCAGCGTGCCACATCATCAGGCTGTTCATCCTTGGACTTGGCCCAGCAGGAAACTGAGAATGTGTCAAGACAGAAAGCCACTCCTTCAAGACAATGTTCTCGGAGCGGTTCATCCTAACAGCTGTTAGAGCTGAAGAAACACCTTCAGTGTCGCTCACAATTAACTTCACAACATACCAAAAACCTTCAAAAGAATCGATACATCCAAAAAAACAGTTTTTCTGTTGCTAGGTTACCATCAGTTATAAGTTGTTCGACATCCAGTTCTTGTGAAGCCTCGACATTTTACTTTTATCAGTTAGTCTTATTCACAACGCGATGAAGTTTGATGGCCGTTTGAATAAACCTACAATATCCTGCAAACCATCTGAGACCAAAGCATGAGCAACAACTGCAGCGGTGCCGATAAAATCAAAGCATCTCAGTCCACTGCCATGCAAGCACTCCCCAGACAACATGCTTTGTCCACTGAAACACACTGAAGAATCAGAATGGAAAAGAAAGAGCTCTTACTTTAACCAGACGGAGTTATTTGAGTCACAGATACAAACACAGGTTGAGTCCCAGGCAGACCGAGTGTTTCGGAGGTATATATTGCAATCACAGATAGATCTCAATCCCCTCCATTCTCTTTATGGAAGTGGATTACTGGTCAAACCAATGAGCTGCCAAGGTCATGAAATACAATACAGTGTCCTCTGGCCCCTTCCGGAGCTGGCCACATTATAAATAACCCACACTTGTAGATTGTTTCTCGTTTTATCTTTTGCCTTCAAGCTTTGATCCGAAACAAATCAATAAAGGGATTGTTCTTGACAGGTAACATAAATACCCACAGAAGAAATGAATGAGTTTGATAGAAGACAGGAAAATAACTGAACAAAATTTTGCTTTATTATAATAAGTTAGAAACTAGAAAATATCAAAGTACAAAGTACCTCATCAGATATGACATGATTCTCATCAGAGACTCTACTTCCTCAGACGGCTGAGACGAGCTGGTCTGGAAGCTCAGTCCTCACCTCCTTCTCCAGGTGTGCAGTGGAGAGCATCCTGTGCTCCAGCATCAACGTGTGGCATGGAGGCTGCACAGCTGCAGAAAGAAAAGCTTTGCAGAGAGTGGTGAAGGCTGCACAGAAGATGTTGGAGTCAGTCTCCCCACCATCACAGACATCTACACCTCCAGATGCAGGAAGAGGGCCACCTGCATCATGAAGGACCACACTCACCCAGCACACACACTTTTTGCCCCGCTCCCCTCAGGAAGGAGGTTGAGGAGCATTAAGTGTAGAACCACTAGACTGAGGAACAGCTTCTACCCTGAGGCTGTTAGACTCATGAATCTCTAACTAGAAGAATCACTGTGAAAAAAATCACTGTAATGCCACTTGATTGTTGATATGTGCTGCTGATTATCCTTGCTGCTGATCTCTTGCTGCTGATCTCTTGCTGCTGATTTATGCTGCTGCGTTCATTCGTCCTCGTCAGCTCACACGGACTCATGTTCGTGCTGCTGTTGTTCACCGTATTGTTTTTGTACTATTTGTGCTTGGTGTATTCTTAGTTTAATAACGGCCAGTCAGGTCATCTGGACAGTTTCTTCATTTGTGGAAAAACGTTCTTTAGTGGTTGGTCCACTAAAAGAGTTTACTGGTTAGTGGGGAAAACAGTTTAATTGGGATTCCTCAGACTAATGAAACCCTTCGGATAGAGAGCGAAACGTCTTTCAGCAAAAAAGAAACTGTCCAGAACACCTGACTGAACATTATTGGATTTTGTACCTGGATGATTGAGCATGAACTTTGCTATTCTTAGTTTAGTGTTTTTTTTAGTTTATGTCTTGGATCTTATTACTGTTTGTCTTTACAATTTATACTTTTGTTGGATGTAACTGGGACCCTGAGTACACAATTTTGTTTCACCACCTGTACCACATGTGGTGCGAAAGACAATAAAGAAACCTTGACCTTGATTCTCCTGGTTAGAGATCCATGAGTCTAACAGCCTCAGGGTAGAAGCTGTTCCTCAGTCTAGTGGTTCTACACTTAATGCTCCTCAACCTCCTTCCTGAGGGGAGTGGGGCAAAAAGTGTGTGTGCTGGGTGAGTGGGGTCCTTCATGATGCAGGTGTCCCTCTTCCTGCATCTGGAGGTGTAGATGTCTGTGATGGTGGGGAGACTGACTCCAACATCTTCTGAATTTACCCTTTACCTTTCAAAGCAAACTACAATTTCGGTGTGGAATTTTGAATTTAAATATTTGATCAATAAGTATAAGAGCTTGGACTTTGAAAATGACCAAAGGTTCAGGGATCTAAGTCTTGTTTTTAGGGATTTAAATACACTTGCTCCTTGACTTTTAAACTCTTTTATCCAGAAGTATAAAACCAGAGAAGCACCAGATCTCAGATGAAACTGTGTCATGCTGAGATGGAGAACGTGGTTTAGGCCAAAAGTCACGTCAGTTCGAGGAACACAT